GTTAAACCAGTTTAACGTTAAGTCAGTTCCGTTCATATTTTATACCTTAAGTTGGCTTAGTCATTTAAGCTGGCTTAAAATATACAGTGTGAATAGGGTATTAGGAGAGTATCAAAATGGAAGACAGTTCCAAACAATTGGAGAATTATTTCCAAACACAGAAAACCAATTCATGTATAAATATTTTTTTGTTTGTGATTCAGTGAATAAATAAGTGGTGGCATATAATTTTGCACCACTGTTGAATGATTATTTTTATATAACTTATGTTTGGATTAGGGTTTCTCATTTCCCGGGAAATTTGCCTCCAGCGGGATTACGGGAAAAATAATTTCTTTCCCGGGATGAGATAGTAAAATAGAATTTTATATGAATAAAAAAAATCATACAGGAATATCATAAATTTGAATAATTTAATTTATTTTCTAGTAAGTAAATAAAAGTGTAGGACCAATCTCACCCATACGGACACGTTAGACTCAATTAATTTATATTCTCCTACATTATAAGATGAAAGTAAAATAAATCATTTCATTGGGAGTTTTACTGATTACGAAAAAAAATACTATTTTATTTCTAAAGATGAAATAAAAAATAAACTAAAGTACGATGAGTAATATTTACTTTCAGCGAGTTCTCCGCTGTTCAATAATATGCAAACACAATACATAGATATTACATGAACTAACAAGCAGAGACTTGTAAAACATAGGTAATAATATGCAACATGAAACCTAAAAATTTCTCTCTTAGGTGAGTCTTCAAGATGCAACTTTTTGTATAATAAATAATAGAAAGAAAACCTGACATGATAAATTATTACTGAAATGCGAGATTTCCCGGGAAAATAAAATTTCCCGGGATTTTTCTCGTAGGGAATAAACAGCGGGAATCCCAGGAAAGAAACCCTAGTTTGGATTAATCGATTAGGATGATATTTGGTTTATGAAGATAATTATTGAAGACATTATTAGAAGATTGTTAAATATGTTAAATAATTATGTAAAATTTTGTCCATCTACTCTAAATAATTCAAAAGATTTTTTAAAAATTACACTGCCATACAATTCTGTGCTACACTGTATATATACATATGCAATATAATCTGCAAATAGTGGACACCATCGGGACCAAGGAGTTTGTCCACTATTTGGAGATATGTGCCGGCAGCCATATTGTATTTAAACATGGTCATTACAAAGTGAAGAGTACGATGGATTACAAAAACTTCAAATTTGCCTTAGGAACGTGAATATATGAAAAAGAGTACGTAGCATATATAATTAAAAAAAATATATACATACAATTTGCATCCACTTCAAAGAATGAGAAATAAATTCAAAACTGTTTCATTTATAATGCCATTTATGATGTAAAAGCAACTAATAAAAATTGATAAAGGGATTGTCTGCTTTATAGTTATCAAAATACTGGAACAGAGTTCAATATAATAATAAAAACCAATAGCACTTTTCCAGCAAATGTTTAATTAATTGACAAATGTTTTTGGCTCCATTTAGAGGCTTGCTTCAGCTCTGCACAAAAACTTTCTATTGTTCTAAAATTAGAATGTTACTTTGTTCTAAGGTGTTTTTAAGGGTTTAAAATACAGAATGTCCAGACTTTAAAATGTTGACATAAGCTCAAAGCTTTGGAATAATAACACATCTACAATAAATATGTCATACATCTTGCTGTTCTCTTTTGCAGGTTGTCCTAAAGCAATTGCCATGCTGCAGATAATGTTTCGCAGTTTTTCTAATTAACATATCATCCTTTCCTAGTTGTTTTATAAATTTCTGGTGTTTCTATCTATTGATCTTATGTGATGTTTGTTATAAACTTTATGTATTAATCTTGCTTCTTCCAGATTTTTCGTCACCTCTGGGCTCTGTGGCATAACTGCCTAAAATTGTTACTGGCTTATTTTTAGTGATGTCACACTTTGTGCTCTTTGATTCTTGCATTTAGTGATCTATTTGTGGATCTCATGTAACTAATTGACAGTTGAATCTATTATCTGATATTGGAATGCTATAAATGCCATATGTATGACATATTTTTTGTAGGTGTGTTATTATTCCGAAGCTTTGAGCTTATGTCAACATTTTAAAGTCTGGACATTCTGTATTTTAAACCCTTAAAAACATCTAAGAACAAAGTAACATTCTAATTTTAGAACAATAGAAAGTTCTTGTGCAGAGCTTAAGCAAGCCTCTGAATAGAGACAAACCATTTGTCAAGTAATTAAACATTTGCTGGAAAAGTGCTATTGGTTTTTATTATTAGGTTAAACTCTGTTCCAGTATTTTGAATTGGTTTATTGTTCTAAATACATACTGCTGGATTATAAAGGTTCCAGCCTAGATTGTTCCAAGTGTTGCTAGCCAGTGTCTAGCAACACTTGGAACAACCTAGGCTGTTTGCATGTGATGTCACAACAGTATGTTAATCTAAGTTATTTAAACCATACAATTTGTGTAAATAAATCAAAATGGATGAACATGTACTAGCAGCCATGATAGTTGCTTTCTCAGAAATAATTTTAAATTTGAACTTGTAAATCATTCATACAAATGTGTTCAATTTTAATATTGTCTGAAGATGTCTGTTATAAACAGATGAAAACGTTAGTAAATATTTCTTAATTTCAAGTTGCTGGTTTTGTATGTATAAACTCTGGGTTTGATGCATGTGCAAAATGACTTATTTCAGGGAAAAATGGCAACATTCATGGTGATGATGATGATGAAACTAAAAAAACTTTCAAGTTCAGAAACTCTAGATTAGTAAATACGAAAGTGAGTTGTACGCTTCATCAACTCTTCATTCTACCGGAGTTGTACGCTTCATCAACTCTTGAAATAATTTGAATTGGTGAATATGGGAATAAGAGGGTCTTTTATCAAGCCCATTGTGAGTTCAACTAGGTCCACAATGGAATGGCCAGGCAATGAGGAATGGGGCCAAACTTCTGGGACTGGCCTCTCATCAAAAGTGCCCGTGACTTTTTTACCTCTATTCCCAAAATGATAGGCTAATGCCTTAACCACTTTAGCCATCCAACTAGCCTAATTTTGACATTGTGACACTACAAAAAATTTTGTGCAGGTTGGAAATTACCTAGAATGCAGAGGACAGCAAGCAATGGTCTATCCACAAAGTTTGTGCAACACTAGAGAGGTTCCGGCCAACATTGTCATCGTGAAAATGTATACATTGGACATTCAGCACTTTCTTCCTGTAAGCCTAGAAGTTTGACAATGGTGTTTGGAATGTCAGTGGAATCATGCTTGATGTTCCAAATACTATTGTCAAACTTCTAGGCTTACAGGAAGGTGGCACTGAACATCCAACATATATGTTTTCGTGATGAAAACATTGGCCAGAACCTCTCTAATGACACTTGTCAATGTTACACAAACTGAATGTGAATAATTAATCTAGAGAATGAATTTTAGGCATTGTCCAAATGATGATATTTCAGTGTATACACTATATCTAGACATTAAAGTACAGTCAACTCCCCTATAACACGGGTTCCTATAGTTCGAATTCCTATATCACGGCGAAAAAACTGCGACAGTATTCGTACAAACATGCTAAAAAAACTCCTATAATTTGGTAAAACATCATTGCCGACTCGTGTTGCGACAGGATTGCACAAACCGTTGAGTTTAAACGAGCAGCGGCCCTACCAAAAACCATTTATTATTTAACATCCATAAAAATTATATTTATATTAATGATGTCTTTAAAGTTCGATGAATTTTTTGCAAAAAAATAATTTATCGGGAAGCACGCGAGCACCATTTGATGACAATCTCCACGACGAAAACAAGCTTAAGCAACGGTGTAGTTGAACGGTGCACACTTGGTAAGTAATCCTACAATTTTTTGTTTATAGCATAGTTTCCCAAATAGGATTATTCCCAAAAAATTATACGTATTTTGGAAATGTTGAGTCGAATTAGTCTAGAATCGATTAATTTTATGGAAGAAACCTTTCAAACAGCCGTAGTCCGTAAATTGCATACGTGCCGGGATGTGATTGGCTGGACTCCTAGAAGCTGGATTCTTAAAAACAGGAACGTATCTACTGTGTTATGGGGGGTCGACTGTATTGTCATACAGACAACACTTTAATGCCTAGATATAATGTTCTAGATAGGGTCTAAAAATTTAATACTATTTCTCTACTTTAAATTTAAATTAACTCAAAATTTTTTCTTGACAACTTTGATCTCGGACATAAGATTGAAAAAAAAATACTTATATTACAAAATAAATTACAAATTACTGAATATAATTTCTTCTGAAAAGATAAATAATTTAATAACGGTTAATAATAATAATAATAATAAACTAAGAGCAAAACTATACAGTAATAATGATGCTTTTTAGAAGCACATTTTTTTTTTAATATAATATTTCAAATTTTATTCAAACATATAATAAATAATAAAATAAGTAAAATAAAATAATAATAATTATAAGTAACATAAAAATAAAAAAATCTGATAGAAATAATTTTAAAAAAATATTAAAGCAAACCAAAAAATTAATCAACGTGTCTTACACAAATGTAGAAATTAATAAATCTGGTTGATTTTTTTAAAGTTTAACATGGACTAAAAATAGTTTAGGTAGGCGACAATAGCAAGTAGATGAGCTTATTCTAAATTAAACATTCAACCTTTAACATAATAAATCTTTAAAAGGCCTTCATAACACGAATCTAGGAAATCTAATGGATCAGCACATATTGCTTTACCCAATTTACCATTCATATCGTATAATATACTCTATTATACACATTTTAAGTCGGTTTCTTTATAAAAATTAAATTTTCAAATAATTAAATGATAAATTACCGTTAAATTCGATAATTATTTTTTAGAAGAATAAAACTTACCGAGTTTTATTAGACTTAGCGAGATATCAAACAAAATCCACGTCGCATGAAAACTAGTAAAAGCACCCCCTAACGTCGGAATCGAGATTATATTCGAAAGGAATTGTGGGAGTGTCAGCCATCTTTACACTAACTCAAGACCTTGGAACTGATTTTGCGTTTAATGGGGTAAAACAAGTAATAAAAGTAGTTGTTTCTTAACCGATTGTCATTGGTATAACGTGTTGTGTTTTAATTATAAATAGTATTAGACTATTTAGACGCCAATGGACGTCATTAATGGATTACGTCATCTACGTCGTCTACCAAATTGACCTTCTGCGTTTGAGTTTGAGCTACATCAACAAAATCGAGGAAACATCAAATGGACTTCTCGAATGGCAACTTTAGAACGACTTTTTTAAGTCTCAGGTGTGTATATCGTTTGCAATTAACACATTTTAACATCAAAGGCTATAAATGCCAATGGTGATTTTTCAATCAAAATTATTACTTTAGTACGTTACAAAATCAATATAAACAACCAATTAATACTCCATATCAATGTGATAAAATAAGTTAGTTATAAATGAATTTTTATTATATAAGTTAAAATTTTCTATTTGTTTAAAATATTTCTTAACTTTACTTTCAAATTTAAAATTGGTTTGAACTTAATTTTTACTTATAAAAGTTAAATTTAGAATATAAAGTAGAAGTTATTTAATTTGTATTAATTTTTGTTGTTATGTATATAAAATTCATTTGTTTATATAATTTTGTATAGATACATAGGTGGAGGTGTCTCACAAAATAGAATATTAAATGGAAAAGTGTGCTTCAGCATGAAAATTATTGGGAATACTCTATTTTAGATCACAGGTAGTTTATGTTAATAACAATCATAAAGTAATATAAAGTATATTCTTATAAATGTCAAATATTTCAAATAATCTCTAACTGCACTTACAAATAAATAAATAAACCTTAAAAACCTTTAAAATGCAGTCTTTTTATTACGGCATCTAACGTTTTTGGTGAGTTAAAAGTTCTGTAATCAGTTTCATTTGGTAAAAATTGGAATTTTTTTGATTCTTTCCCAAAGAAGGTCGATTAACTGACCGAAAATGTTAGATGCTATAATAAAAAAACTGCATTTTAAAGAGTTTTTTAAGGTTTATTTAAATATTTCAAATATGTCAAATGTAAATGTTTGAAAATATATTTAAAGCTTTTGAAGCAATATAATTTTTAACATTATCAAATGATATTGTTATTTAAAATGAATATTAGATCTTAATTTGATATCTAATTTTTATTAATTATTTCAAAAAAATTCTATTTTTGATAAAGTTTATTTTATAGCTGGGCTAATTACTGTGTCTTTAATAGTGGGGCTTTTATAAGAATGCTAGCATTTTCGACCTGGTTAACGGATCGTCCTCGGGCATTGAAAGTCAAAAGTAGGTTGACTTTCCTATTTTTGACTTTTGATGCCTGGGGATGAACTGTGTTGAAAATGTTAGCATTCTTCTAAAAATCCCACTGTTAAAGGTGTGGTAATTAGTTTGATTAAGTTATTACAGTTGCTAGTATATCATCTTCAGTTCATTTTATGTTATTGAAGTGTAACTTTTAATAATAATAGTAAAAATGATAAGAGTATTAATGTTATTTCATTTATATAAAATAATACTAAACTTAAATTAATTTTCACTTTTAAATTTCATATATTTCTTTGCATAAAACACCATCCATTCTAAGATGCACAACAACTTTGAAATCCAATTTTAAGACTGATTTGAGAATTTTTTTACAGAGAAAAAAATTTTTTATAAATTTCTGTTATGGATTTTCATGATTTCTATGCTCTTTTGCATAGACAACAGCTGTTTGTTTTTTGGTTGCATTGTGTTAAAGGTATTTTTTAATGTTAAAAAAGAATTTAAATTAAATGCTTGTTACCAGTAAAGTTCATTTAAACTGATATGACTGTTTAGTAGTACGGTTTTGAAAATGTTTATTATTGGTGCTTAATGCATTATGAAGTCTACTTTCAATGACAGCTGATTGTTGTTTTGGGCTATAAATTTTCCATTGCCATAAGATACCATTGGTTATAAGACTTGTTTCTGTTTTGAAAAAATAAAAATGTGTTTAAAAAAATGCATCTTACGATTGAGGAAATAGCATAATTTTAACTTTTCCAAATTGTTGCACTATTTTTAAAACTTTTTTCCAAAATGACTAGTAAGAAACACTTATCAAATTAAATTCTGCATACATACAGCATTTTGTGAATATGAAGATTTTCAATTTATTATAAATAGAACAATTGTTAGCATCAAAATTTATCTTATTAATTAAATATTAGGAATGTTCTTACTGTATTGAATGGTTTTGCATATAAAATCTGAAAGAAATAATTTGATGTTTAAAAAAATTTTTCAAATTTTATATGCAGATAAATTGAACTATTTGTGTCAAAATATAACTATATTGAATAAATTAAATTACAGTTAAATACTATTAGAAAATTAAGAATTTTTTTTATGAGTTACTAGCAGATAAGCCCGGCGTTGCTTGGGCAAAAAGTAATGATAGCAAAGATTAAGATTATTACATTACAGCCAATCTTGTCCATTTTCACAGAATGCAAGAATTAGGTTCCCCTGTTTCCAGACTAATTAGAAAATTTTTAGATGGGTTTAAAATTATGTTCGATTTAATGTTAAAATCCGCATCTGCGCCTGTAAATCTTGCATGTTGCTTTCTCTTAACACTTCCATTGTTGAAGCCTTAATCCTGTCCCTTTCCCTGCAGGGGGAATTTCAAAAAATTCCTTGTTAGTATGCGTTCTCGTGACGTACCCTAACTGTGTACCAAATTTCAAGTTTCAACTCCTAGCCACGATGAAATGCTCATATGCACGCATGCCATCACGCGCGCATAGGATAAATGTACTATGCCAAAAAACCTTTGCAGGAGTGTATTAAACAACTTCCCACAGTTTCATGGCAATCAGATAAAAATTTTGTAGTAATGCATGAAGGGCAGAAAGACATACATTCATTTTTATATATATAGATTGATACAGGCATGCTCTAAGTCTTCACTCATTAAATGCCCTTTAAATGAAGTGAAGATTTAAAATATGAAAACCTGTCTTCCTATTGAATGATTTTTGCCTTTCAGTACTGAAGATAAGCAATATATCATGTGTTAAAAGAACATATTCTTTTCTGTTATCCATTCCATGAATAACACATCATTGATTATAACCATCACACATGCCATATGACACAAGGCAATAGATTAGTTGGACATGATGTATTTGCTTCTATTACAATCAAATTTTCCCTATGACTAATTAACCAGTAAATGTTATTCCATTTTAATTTTTTATTTTTCACAATCATTTGTTAAATTATCAAATTATAAATAATTTTTTATTACAGAGAAGTATCTTTATGATTTGAATGCATTGTAGCTTTTATTTTTATAGCATATTTTCAAATTAGCATAAAAATAAACCATTCATTGACCATTTTTTGCATTTTATAACCCATTAGAAGTCTGTTCCTGCAATTTTTCTGCCTTGAGTTTTTAATCTTTTAAATTAACAAATAGTTTGGCTAATAAATGTTATGTTGAGTTAATTTGGAGGAATATGCAAATTATTTTTTTCCCTTTAATGTTGATTGAGCTGAGGAAACAAAAATGAAGAATTGAACAGTACTATTAAGTGGTTTTTAAATTTATCTAATATGGGTATACTACCTTTTTACTCATTGATTTCAGATGTGCAAATAAGATTGTTTTAAGTCAACAGTAATTTATTGGAAAGTGAATTTTACTTTTGATAAAATTTATTTGTTAACATTGTAGTTATTATTATTTACTTGTTGGAGATAGTTTGTTTTGCTGATATGGAAGGCTTTAACATTTTAGTTGTCAGGTTAACATATTGAATTTATCTGAAATGAAGATGATTGCAAGCATATAAAAATGCTATGTGCAATTGGTCTCTTATACATAAATGTTTAATACATAAAAAGATTGTATAACAAAAGATACTTATTTATGTCTATTTTGTTATCCATTTTGGTATATTTTCCTTTAGGTCTAGCTTTTAAGTAGTTAGTACAACAAAACAAACCTATTAAAGTCTATTTTGTTATCCATAGTGACATTCTTTTAGATCTTGTGTGTGTCTGATTTGTTACATCATCTAACAGATGATGTAACAAATCAGACATATGAATGTCTATTTTGCTGTTTATTTTGATAACTACTCCTTTGGGATTAGTGTGCAAATAGATGAGATAGCAAAATAGACATGGTAACATGTTTTGTTGTCCATTTTAATAAATTATCTTTAAGGAAAAGTGAGTAAACATGTGGTATAATAAAACAGACATATTAATTTTTTATATCTCCAAAAAACGAAATCCTTTTTTGAAGTGACCAATGGAGTAAACACTTTAAAGAGCTTTTCTCCTGTAAATGCAGCTGGTCAATGAAAGCAGCATTGATTGCGAGTCATTGGCCTTCACATCTTATTGCATGAGGAACAGTTGCAACTTTGTCCTATTGCTTATAGATAACAAAGGTAATTAGTGTTCTTGATAAACACTATTTATACAGTGTTCACACCTTATATCAATGAAAGCATTAAACACACTCTTGGAGAACTCCAAAAGATGGACTTATTAGGAGGTGTATTCAGTAGAGTGGTCACCTATTAGCCTAAATTAACTACCTTAATTTTTTAAAATTAAAAGCATTGTACTAGTATTTACAAATTATTGTAAAACCAAGTCACAAGACTAGATTTTGTTTTAATAATTTGTACTGTAAGTTTAAATAAGTAACAAACCAAAGATGCTATATAGTTTTTTATTAATAAATGTTGAGGTAGACACTGAAAAGAATTGTTAACATTATTTTAAAAAATTCAGCAATGAGTTACATTATTTTTCCTGCTATTGTGAAATTTTATTTAAAAAATAATTTCTATATTATTAATCATAGATAAAATTGTATGTGGCATCATCTGTTATGAGATTTTGTTATAAAAAATTTTATATTGTTAATAATTATAAAATGAGCAATAAGTTTAATTTTGAGGATAGGGAGGAGTTTTATAAAAAGAAATTATAAATGTTACTAATGTGTAAAATCTTCATTAAGTCCAACCCTCTTGAGATATGACACATGACCCCCTTCTATCTCCTCCCAATCAACCTTCAACCACCAAAATTTAATAACATTGATGCTTCTTATATACAAGTTACCATGCTGAATTTTGTTTCTTACTCTTTACCCCTTCCCAAACTCAGGGCCGCCGTAAGCAGGCGTGCACCGCAGGCGGGCGGCACGTCCAGGGGACGGCAAAGAGCCTTTCTGGCAAGCTCAGCATAGGTAATCGTAGTTAAACAAGGGGGCGGCATAATCGGTATTGCACACGGGCGTTCAAATAGCTAGCGGCGCCCCTGCCCAAACTATTAAATGAAAGATGCCAACACACACACACACATCTATGAAATTATTTTTTCATTTCTTTGACATTTTTTAGAGATCTCAAAATATGGAGATTTGCAAAATCCCCAGAATGAAATTTGACACAATTCCAATACTTTCCCTTGTTATGTATACATGACAACTGAAAAATATTTAAAACATTATTTCAGTGTACCAAATTTAAATTACAATAAGTACAAGTATATACAATATAATACAGAAAAAAATTTTTTAGAAATTAAAAAACACAGATGCATAATTTATGAATAAGGCATTTACAATGTGTACAGATTTTAAAAAATTCTCTGCATTTGCTTTTTATTTGCATTTAGCAGAAATAAGTCAAATGCAACCTTAGC